AAGGCTGTATATCTTTAAGGAAGCAGACTGCCTCATCTTCTCCTGAGGAGTGGCTGGTGGGTTCAAACAACCCAGCTTTTGGTTAGCAAATGGATGCTTTTACCACTGTATCACCAGAGCTCCTTATTACAGTTTTAGCTATTGTGGTAGTTAAGGTTGTATCAACTTGGCTGTGTTGGGGTTTTGAGTGGCTTGGCAGCTGGATGCAGTATTCCCCATGATGAGATTGTAATCACCTCCATGGTGGAATCTGCTGTGAGCAGCTAAGTAGTTGAAGAGAGTTTACCTTAGGGGAGTGGTCTACATGTATAAATATATATATATATATATATATATATATATATATATATATATATATATATATATGTAGCTCTGGTGGAGTAGTGCCTAAGGCACTTGACTGGTAACCAGAAGGCAGGCAGTTCAAATCCACCAGCCACTCCATGGAAGGCAGACTGGGCAATCTACTTCCATAAAGATTTACTATCTTGAAAACCCAAAGGGGAGCGGGGAGAGGGGAGAGGGAGAAGCATTGGGGAAAGTCTCTAGCCTTTTGGCACATTTGGATCCTGCATTTGGCTAGTCTTCATCTTTAGTTCCTGGATTTAAACCAGTGGCCTGCTGTGTTGCCTGCGGATGTTGGGATTATTCCCGGATTTGAACCAGTAGCTGTGTTGCCTGATGATTATGGGATTGTGCCATTTTACCTGCCCACCTTGGGTTTGTTAAGGAGCTCTGGTGGCACAGTGCCTAAGGCATTTGACTGCTAACCAGAAGGTTGGTGGTTCGGATCCACCAGCCACTTCGAGGAAGGGCGACTGGGCAATCTACTTCAGTAAAGATTTACTGCCTCAGAAACCCAAAGGGGGTCACTATGAGTTGGAATCGACTCAGTGGCAGTTTTTTTTGTTTTGTTTTTAGCTAAAAAGTATTACAATACATACTCATGGTAATACTCCTTCTTCCTTCAGCATCCAATGCAGAGCAAAATCCTGCTTTCTTGAACTCTCCCCAAACTCACTTAACACAAGCACAAATTCTATAATAAGTACTCCATAGTTTGTTGTGGTATTCAGACCCCTCTTTGCAACAAGTCAATAAATACAACTTGGCTCAACTATGAGTATGATCCTAGTGGTCTTTGGCTAGAGAACAATATTAACAAAGAAAAAGTATGTAAGTCATTCTACATTCTTTCCTTTCGCTTATCCTTCTGTTTTCAAACTTTATTTCCTAATTTTTCTTTTTTTTGAGTGGTTGGCATTGGTAGCTGGGTACCATCTAACTTTTCTAGTTTCAGGGTTGTATAGGCTGAGGTTTTCCTTGGTCAACTAGTCTTTGGGACCATTTGTTTCCATGTTCTTTGATTTTCTCCACTCTTCTCTGTTCTTGATGAGGTGAGATCAATTGTTGCATCTTAAATGGCCATTTCCTAAATATTTAAAAAATCTATCCTGCCTTCCTAATCCAGCTACCACTGTCTTAATCTTATTCTTTTCATCTTTCACTTAATCCAAGCAATAGCCTTTTTTTAAAATTGTGATTTGGGAAAGTTTACAGAGCAAATTCACTTTCCATTCAACAGTTAATACACATTTTGTTTCTTTATGTTGAATACAGTCCTCACAATGTAACACCTCTCTTTCCACTAATTCCCTGTGGTTATCTTTTCCTTGGGTGCTTCTTTCTTATGCATTCCTGCCATCTGAGCTATCACCTTGCTCAAATGCTGTCCTTCTTATCTCCCATGGTTGATTGTTCTAAGGAGTGTATCTACCTGGTGTAACTGTTCACCTCATAGGCCAATCTTAAGCAATAGTCTTTTAAAGTTTTACAGTAGTCCCTCCTCAGTACATTCTCCACCCTGTTGTTAAACTGTTAAGTTTCCTCTGCTAAAACTGTCAAGGCTAACATCTGTTGTGTGAATTTACTTTTTGATGATATGGTTTGTAACGAAAAATTCTTTATGATGATTGATACTTCAGAGATTAGGATTAAGTTTATACTAATGCAAGAGGTAAAGGAGTTCTGGTGGCATAGTACCTAAGGTATTATTCGACTGTTAACCAGAAGGTTGGCAGTTCAAACCCACCAACCACTCTGCGGAAAGAAGACTGGGGAATCTACTTCCGTAAAGATTTATTGCCTTGGAAACCCAAAGGAGGTCGCTATGAGTTGGAATCAACTTGATGGCAGTGAGTATGGTTTTTCAGTTTTAATGTAAGAAAAGGTAGCTTAATTTTTATGTACAAGGGGAAAACCCACCACTTTTCTTTGACATAATCGTGTCTAGAGAATTTTGTAGTTTTTTTTTTGGCTGCTGATACAAATGACAAACGCCTGTAATCATAACATAGTCCCATTGGCATAACTCAGGTCATGCAACATTCCAATCATGCTAAGAATAACTTCAACCTTTTCCCACACAAGAAATACAAAATAATGAGTGATGGAATGATTAATATAAGCATGGTTAATGTAAGAACGGTTAATATAAGAATAACCATGAAGCTAATAAATTTCAAATAAAAATGATCTACAAGCATATGTACTTTAACTTATAAACAACAATTTACAAATGACATATCTCACTACATTGAGTTTAAGAATCACTAACCTCAAAAACATAATTTACTCAGAAAGAGAGACAGTTGGGTTATTATTTGTGTATAAAATTAAATACAATATGTAATTATTACTGTAATTGACTTGCCTAATCTGTTATAAAATGTGACTTCCTTAAATTCATTATCTATTTATTAATTCAACATTTAGTATGAGCTTCCAAAAAAAAAAGCCAAACTCACAGCCATTGAGTAGATTTTGACTCTTAGTGACCTCCATAAGATTTCCAAGTCTGCAAATCTTTACGGAAGCAGACTGCCTCATCTTTCTTCTGTGGAGTAGCTGGTAGGTTTGAACCACTGATCTTCTGGTTAGCAGCCAAATGCCTTAATCACTACACCACCAGAACTCCTTAGTAGGAGCCTATTATGTGCTAAATAATGTGCTAGGTGCTAGTAGATGAAGATAAAGTTCTACTGCCCTTTAATTTTGTAGAAGGAGGCAGGTAAGTAAAGTAATAAGGACAGTCAAATAATACTGGCTGCTCTAAGTGTGAATGGGAGCTCTGGTAGCATAGTGGCTAAGACACTTGCCTGCTAACCAGACGGCTGGCGGTTCAAACCCACCAGCCACTCCTCGGAAGGAAGGTTGGGCAATCCTACTTCCGTAGCGATACTGCCTCGGAAACCCAAGGAGGGGTCACTATGAGTCGGGTTTGACTTGACCGCACATAACAACAAGTGTGAATAGAATAAACAATGTAGGGGTAGATAAGTAGTAGTTAGTTCTTTAGAACATTCGTGTTTGGGGTAAGGCTCAGAAACTATCCTAGGGATGAGAACATGTACAAAAAAGGCAAAATTTCTAAGTTTGCCATTGCAAAAATGGCTATAGGTAGTACAGAAATGAGCCACATACTTCTATATCTGTGTGTTCTGTACTGTGCATAGCAAGAATTGAGTTCTTTCAAAGAAGAAAAGGAATTTTGTTATGTCAATCACAGACATCCTTTTTTTCCCGCTTTATGTTTTAGTAAAAGGAAAAACAAAACAAAATTGATAGGACCCAAGGGATGTTTGGTTTATGGTACACATGCCATAGTATGTTGAATTTATTTTAATCTTCCCAACGCCACTAAGACACCCATTGAATCTTCTGGGTGCCAATAGAAATCGGGTAGTCCACAAATGTTCTTCTAATTAGGAGAGTTTGGGATTCCTGGGTTCTAACTTTTCCATTGGCATCTCAGAACAGGGCCATTGTAGCCCTGTGGAAATGGGAGTGAGGGGAAGGGACCAAAAGATGCAGTCATGTACGGGGTGGAAGGGGTAAACCCACATTTATGTTATTTTGATGATTAGCTTTCACCTTATTCTTATATAATCTTCACTACATCCCGGAAGCTAACAACCATGTGTCAATCCCATTTTATCCATTGAACCGTTTGATGCTGCTGTGAGAACATTTGTAACTCGAACAAGGTCAAACAGCAGTTTAGAAATAGTGATGCCCTGCCCTGACCTCTGCGGTATTCGGCCTTTTTACACTGTGCTGTTGTTGTTGTTGTTATTTGCCGCCGAGTTGGCCCCGACTCATAGCGACCCCTCCTTGGGTTTCCGAGGCAGTATCACTACGGAAGTAGGATTGCCCAACCTTCCTTCCGAGGAGTGGCTGGTGGGTTTGAACCGCCAGCCTTCTGGTTAGCAGTCAAGTGCCTTAGCCACTATGCTACACTGTGCTAGTCTACCGAAAAAATACTTTTCTAGAGGAGTTTTTCCAGATCACTAATACCTAGAGGCCTTTTGGTAGGTCTAGGCCAGATGTAGATGGAAAGGTAATCCTACTTTTTGCAAATCCTTGGACAAGCTCCACTCTGGCTAAAATCTGGACGCGAGAGCCTTTGACCACCTCAAGGCAAGTGGTAGATAAAGCTCACTGAGCATCTCACGGACACAACCACCACACAGGTGCGCGCGCACCTGTCGCCTGTCGGGTGCGCGCTGCGGGGATGGAGTACGTTCTCCGCGCGCGTGCGCGTGCACCCGGCACCGGTCCCTGTACGTGCGCCGTACGTGGGCACGGTGTCCCTGCGCTCCGCGTTCCGTGCCAGGAGTCAGCTCCTTTCGGAGTTGGAGTCGGGGAGGGGCATTTTCCCAGGCGGTCGTGGCTCCCCCTGGCGGCTGCCGTGCAGCGCTGGAAGCGTGCAGTCAGGCGTTCTCTGCGGACAGCCGGCGGCGGGGCCTTGCCTTATAACGCGGGGTCCTCGGCGGTCTGGGTGGTTGCTTCTGCTGCTGCTGTCGTAGGCGAGGACCGCTGTTAGTGGTGCTGCTGTTTGGTTCGCGGCGGCGGCGGCGGCAGCGGCAGCGAAGGAAGGCGAGGCGACGGGGGAAGGCGGAGGCAGGCGCGGCGGCGGCGGCGCCCGGGGCCCGCGGCGGCGGCGAGGGGGGGGAAGATGGCGGACGTGCTCAGCGTCCTGCGACAGTACAACATCCAGAAGAAGGAGATTGTGGTGAAGGGAGACGAAGTAATCTTCGGGGAGTTCTCCTGGCCCAAGAATGTCAAGACCAACTATGTAGTTTGGGGGTAAGTCCGGTATGGCTGTGGCCTGGGGTGACAAGGAATAGTTGAGAGCCCCCAGGTGACCTGTTTCCTAACCCCTCCCCCCGTTTCCCCTGGGATGAGGAAAAACAGGAGTGTTCCGGGAAAAAGTTTCCTTCCTGAACAGAAGTTGCACTTTTGGGGTGAAGAGCTGCATATGGAGTGGTCCATCTCTTTTAAAATTTGGGAAGCCATAGAGAAAGGTACCATGGGAATTTCTGACTTTGCTCTTTCATTTTTATCAATATATTTTGAGGGCCAGCAGTGTGCAGGGCTGGGGCACAAATATACCTGAACATAGGTGCACAGACGAATACATCGTCTAGTACCGGAGACGTCTCTTTTTGTTCTTTATTTTCTTTCTCTTCTTTGAGGCTCCCATGTGTTGTAACTGTCTTCGCTGGCCCTGCGTCTCCTGGTTCATATCTTTCGTGTTGGAAAAGGGGGTATCTCTCAAGAAGAAAGAATGGAGTCAACTATGTGAAGTTAGGATAGGAAACAGATTAGATGAGTTTGAAAGTCATATAAGTTTGTATTAGAGATAGCGGCAGGGGTTTCCTCAGGGAGAAAGTTAGTAATGGAATGGAGTGAGCGTTTACAGGTTTAAGTAAGAAATTGATGTGCATGATTTGAGAAGTGCGAGTTAAAGGAAAATGGCTTGGAATATTGAGCCTTGTGGGCTTTCTTGAATTTAAATAACTTAGCAGAACATCTAGAGACAAGTTTAATAATCATTAAGGACTATTTTTAGTGATGTCACTCTTTTTGACATTTTCTTTTGAACCTTGAACCAGGACTTCCATATTTAGTTTTGCTTGACTGAGGGAAGAGCAGAGTGAAAGGGGCTGGGCAGTGGGCGCTACCTAGTGTTGACAGAAAAGCTGAGGGTAATTTAGTTTTTTTGTTTGTTCTTTTTTTAAAAAAATTATTTTTATTTGTAGGGCTTATGGTTTAATTAGTTTTATGAAATGACATCATTCTGAATTTTCTGTGGTTTTTTTTTTTTTTTAATCTTTTTAAAAGAATTTGCATTGACAGAATTCCATGTAATTGAATTTTTAATCCCTCCCCTTCAAAAAAGTGGTTTAGGAGTATTCAGGGTGCCAGGCAGTTCATTAATGTAAGAAATAGAAAAATTCCTAAGATTTTCATCCTAGCCTCAAAAGAGTAATCTGAGTAGAGGAGATAACACATAAATTGTCATGAAGTGCTTTCTATCTCCTAAGAGAGCAATCACTTCTGGCTTTGGGGTGTTAGGAATGCTTTCATAGGTGTGTGTTTGGCATGTTGGCTTCTAATAAATTTTTTTTTAATAAATGTATGAGTGAATGAATAAGTTTTAAATAATGGGTGGAATTCTGTGAGTGAGATGATGGATTAGGTCTTCCAAAATGATGGAACTGCATGTATAAAGGCATAATAGCTAGTAAGTAAATGTTATGACAGGTAAAAATCCAGTGAAGCCAGTGAATAAGGAATGCTTAGAACAGATTTCAAACTTTTAGAACAGTGAATTAAACCAAGAAATGTATTTTCACTTATTATATATATCTCTCTTCGTGCATGTACAAATATATACATTTATATATGCAAAAATATGTAACGTTAAACAGTACTCTTTTTGAATGCAGGTCATTGTTATTTTTCTATTTTGTTGTTGTTGGTGTTATGTGCTGTCAAGTCAGCCCCAACTCATAGCGACCCCTCCTTGGGTTTCTGAGGCGGTATCGCTATGGAAGTAGATTGCCCAGCCTTCCTTCTGAGGAGTGGCTGGTGGGTTTGAACCGCCAGCCTTCTGGTTAGCAGTCAAGTGTGTTAGGCACTATGCTACCAGAGCTCCTATTTTCTTTTCTATATCATCAAAAATAAAACTTGATAGTAACCTATATATTTGATTTCCTAGTATAGTAATTAATAGTGCATTGTGATTTGAAATACATTGATTTAAAGGAAAAATGGGAATATACGCTAGGTAAATAGGTTGAGGGTTAATTATAGTAGACTGTATTCAGATAAATTTGAATCATATATTGACCATTTCACTTCTGGATGGGAGAATGAAGTAGGAGTAAGATCAGACATTAACAAGTAGTGTTAGCAAGTAATAAGTGTTTGCATTAGAGAGGTTGCATCCCTAGATTGCATTGTTGTATCCCAGGTATAGTTGCATTCTGGTTTTACTTCATTGTTATTGGTCTGTTTGAGGGATGTTATAAGAATTAGACCTGTGAAATTCATTACTTTCTTTACTGTAAGAATGTTGTTCAGCAGAATCTTTCTTAGCAAGAGTCATAGGATAAATTTCTCTTAAGTTTTGGTGCCAGTCATAGCTGTGCTTCTGCTTAGCAATTTGGTTGTTTTCTTTTATGAATTCTCTCTAAACCATAACTGGTTAGGTTTCTCTTGCTGTTGACAAAGTCCTGAGCTTAATGTGGGCCTAATTCTAAAAAGTTCATAGGGCCTAAGAGTGTGAATTTTGTGTGTTTTCTTAATTCCTGCTTATTCTCGTTGTTTGCCATTGTGTCCTAGTAACATTTGTCCTAGTAACAGTTTGACTTACCAGTCATTTACTTTTGTGTATTTTGGTTAGCTATTCTAAATCTGTTATGGGACAACAAAATAAGTATGGATAAATGAGCACATTAAATCAAGCCTGAAGAGTTGCATTGGTATTGTTGGTAAAAATCTTGCCTTAATTATTTCAGGACTGGAAAGGAAGGCCAACCCAGAGAATATTACACATTGGATTCTATATTATTTCTTCTTAACAATGTGCACCTCTCTCATCCTGTTTATGTCCGACGTGCAGCCGTAAGTGGAGTTCGTTTAAAATTGTTTCTTTGAATTAATGTTAGATATCACTTGATGTGGATAACTTTCCTTATAGGCTTCAGGTAAAAAGAATGAAAAATCTGTATATATGGTTATATGTCTCATGGAGGGTCAAGATTGGGCCTCTGTTTGAGATTTATACACGTTTTGTAATTTGTTTTTTTTTGAAATGTAAAAATATAGGTAATGTTTGTAACAATGGACATTTTACAACTATTTTATAGGATTTTTAAAAGAATTTATGTACCTGTTGAAGAACCAAGGTACTTGAAATACTAATCTCAAGAGAACTTTTGTTTTTAAATGTTGTAAGAAGGAATCAAACAGACAGCTTTTTAAGGTTAATTTTAAATCAGTAGAATACAACTTTTTCGTACTGTGGTAGTTCAGTTTGTGTGTCAACTTGGCTGGGCCTGGTTGAGTGGCTGGGCAGCTGGGGTAGTATTCCCCATGATGAGACTGGTAATCAACTCTGTGGTGGAATCTACTGTGAGTAGTTGCCTTAGGGAATGCGGTCTGCTTCCTATATATAAGAAGCAGCCTTGGGGAATGGTCTCTAGTTTATGGTACGCTTGGACTTTGCATGTAGCCTTGTTGTCGTTCAGCAGCCTGCCATGCTCTGTCAACCTTGGGACTTACAATGGACTTAAAATGGCCTGCCATGTGGTTTGGTAACATCATTACTGTGCCTTTTTACTTGTCAACATCAGGCGCCTCAGCCTCAGCAGCCAGCAGCTGTCTGAGTGAAGAAAAGTCTGTGGCTCAGTGGGCTGGGAGCTGGAGGCAGACCTGAAGCCCAAGGCTGAGGGGCTTTCACCTAGCCCATACATAGAGCCTGGCACTTTGAACTTGGACTGCTAGCCTCCTGAACTGTAATAGAATAAAAACTCCTGTTGTTAAGGCCATCCCATTTGTGGCATTTTCTGTTAAGAGTGGCACTAGATAACCAGAACACATACTGTACTGATAAATTAATGTTTCCAGTTTTGCCTGCTTTCTGTATCTCACTGCTTAAAAATTTATTATTTAGAAGAAACTTTAGGAGTACTGAAAAGAACTTGGTTTCACAGAGAATATGATGAAGAGATTCTTCATCTATAGTAAAGCAGTATATTATAATGGATTTGTAAGGCTTTAGAGTTATTTGAGTATACTAGCTGTGAGTCATGACAGTTGCCATAAATGGCTTATGAAAATGCCCCAAAAGATAATTCATTTTCCAAATGAGACCCTCCCCAAATATCTTTTGGTAAACTTGAACATAAATTTTTTTTAAGATATAAATGAAATAATTAAGTGTCTGCTTTTAGTATTTATTGTTTTAATTAACTTAAAAGCACATATTTAAAATTAAATATGAAATGTACTAATTTGTAAGTACTGCTTTTCCCCAATTCTTAACAATTCTTGAAACAGTTTTATTAAGACTTTTACAAACTTCATTAACATCAATTTATCTGTTATCACTAGAGCCACATTTTGGGTTATCTATCTATCTCTGTGGCCAGAAGACATTAAATTGAAATTTACTTCTGTAACCTTCCCTTCCCTCCTAGTAGTAATGTTGATGTTGTTTCTGGCTTATGTGAGATGTCATTTCAGAATAATACCTTGTTGTTTGAAGTGATTGGGAAAGTCTTCCATCATCTACTGAGCTTTGTAAGGATCATACTGTAGGACTGCTGCTTTCTGAGCAAGAAATACATAATGTTACATACCTATTTAAAAACAATAAGATTAGAGTGAAATTACTTGGGCAGTACTGGGGCAAAATGGTGGCATCTCTATGTATAAAGTTATTTTAATTCATATTAAATCTTTATGAGTTAGGCAGTAGTTAGCATGTCGTATTGGACATACCCACTCATTTCAGGATAATAAAGATGATGCAGATACTTGACTTAGATTTAGAGATTGTTTTCTTGGGAAATGGTTATAGAACATAACTGACAGCTGTAATTGTTACTGTGGACCTTATGACCTTTGGTCAGATAAGATTTTAACTCTTATTTTTCTTAAATTTTTGACAACTTTAAAAGGCAGAATTCTGAAATTTTAGGTCTCTGCTAACTTTGGTGGTTTTCTCTTCTAACATCTTTTGTGTAATTTGCTCTTTCTCGTGAGCAGCCCACTCTTGAAATAGGCATTCTTGACCCATAGCTCCTGTTAAGTGTGAGTCGACTGTATCTTTGTCACTTGGCTACAATGTGTACATAATTCAGTAATGATTAAATGATTATTATCAGACTTAGAAGCAGAAATTTAATGAAAATTAATTCAAATCTTTTGATTATCCTATTTTATGTAGACTAGTTTTAAAAAATACATACGCACCAAAAACTTGTGAGCTCTTAAACTTATCATGGCCAAGATTAAAATTTTAACTAGACCTTTTTTTTTGAAGTATAAATACAGATTTTTCTTTAAATGATTAAATCTAGTTCATTTGTATCAGTACTCAGTATTAGATAATTGACCAGAGGTCCTAAGGACTCTTGTTACTTCATTATTGTTCATATAAGATGACAAAGGAATTTCAGGTTTATAATCTTATCACCATGATGTTTGTTTACATTAGGAAAAAAAACACAAAATTGTGGTAATTACAGGGTTCATTAAATTCATGGCCCAAAGATGCATTGGTACCTAAAGTATACAGTTTTATTTGTTTCGCTCACTTCTTTACAAATAACTAATATGAAAGATTAAACAAAAATTACTTATTTTATTAAGATATGTTTTTCAGGTTTATTTTATTTTATTTTGAGTATATTTTCCCCTCTGAAGGATTTATACACACACAAAGATGAAGAAGAAACATGTAATGTATAAGGTAGACAACCTAGACAGCCATTTTTAACATTTTCCTGCATAAACTCCCGAACATTTTGTCATTCCTGAACAACATGTATTTATTTATTGTTAATTATCAAAATTTAGTTTTAGTGTCTAGTTTAGTTTATTTGAAAGAGTTCAAATGAAATGTTTTGAGGAGGTCTGGTTTGGGTGAGAGAAAAAAAAATGATTTGGTTACATCGTATAAAGTGAGAAGGCTGTGGGACTGAAAGTATTTGTCCCAAATGTGCAAGCCATCATGTGTGCAATTAAAAATTAGAATAAGCAAAAGGAAGAGAAAGAAAAGAATATAATTGATGTTTTGAAGCGGAAAGAGTCATTGTTTCATTTCTAATAATTTTGTATAGGAGCTCTGGTGGCGTAATGCTCATTGACTGCTAACCAGAAGCCTGGTGGTTCAAACCCACCAGCCACTTGGAAGGAATCTTCTTCCACAGAGGTATTGCCTTGGAAACCCAAGGAAGGTCACTGTGCTAGAATTTTAAAAAATAAAGCTATCAAAAATTAATGTTAAAAAATTTTTCAAGATTTCTGTTTGGTTCTTTTAGCCTGGTCATTTAATACAAATAGGATTTTAAATATATATTATCAAGATATGTTGGAATAAAATTCAGATGCTGTATGATGTTTGTCTTTACTAAGTTTTGTATAGTTGCTATTGATTTCATATCTAATTTAAAATTTTTTCTTCAGACTGAAAACATTCCTGTGGTTCGAAGACCTGACCGAAAAGATCTACTTGGATATCTCAATGGTGAAGCATGTGAGTAATTTTTAAACTACTGTCACTTTAAATAAAAACAACATTTTTTTGAAATGAGAAACAGTGGGAAAAGAATTTATAGTCCCTAAAAAATTAATTAACCTATCTGCGGTTGTGTTCATATGATCACATTTCTTTCCTTATATAGTAAATGCACTGTTTTGCTGCCTAAAGCCAATCATACCTTTCTTGTATATGGATTCCATCTCTTTTTACCCACTAAAAGACTATCTCTCTAAATTATTTCTATCTTGCACCATCAGTTTTCTCTTTGTACATTTCCTTTAAAATATGGACATTCAGGAATATCTCACATCTTTAAAAAAAATTTGACCACACAGGTTTACTATCTACTGTTCCATTTTATTTTTCTCCTTTATTGCAGAATTCTTTGAAAGAGTTGGCATGGTATCACTGTTACGTCTAGTTTTTTTAAATCTACTCTTATCTGGCTTTCATCCTCATCATCTTGCTGAAATTACTCTTGTAAGATCAACAGCTTACTTAAGGATTGCAAATCCTTTGATTTTTCTCATTAACAGCTTGCTTGAGCTTGTAAGGAGCTCTGGTGGTATAGTGCCTAAGGCATTTGACTGCTAACCAGAGGGTTGGTGGTTCAAACGCACCAGCCACTCTGCAGAAGGAAGACTGGGCAGTCTATGTCTATAAAGATACACAGCCTCAGAAACCCAAAAGGGGTAGCTGTGAGTCGGAATTGGCTTGATGGCAATGAGTTTGTTTTCTTTTTTTTGTTTTTAAACTTGCAACAGCATTTGATGCTGTCACCTATCTTTGTGAAAGCCTTTCTTCATTTGGCATTTGGAGCACCAGGCTCTTGGTTCTCTTCCTATTCGTTGTCTAATCCTCGGTCCATTTTGCTTACTTTCTTCTGTGCTTGACTTCTAATTCTTGAAGTTCTCTAGGACTTGATTTTTTTTTTTCCTTTTTCTCTTAATGCTTAATCTCTACATGACTTCTTCTAGTTTCATGTTTTAAATACCTTCCATATGCTGTTGAATTCCAGTTTATTTCCAACACTGACCTCTTCCCTGAGCTCCAGATTTATGAATTCACTGTTAACTTAGTGTCTTCGCTTGGCTGTTTAATGGGCATCTGAAATTTAACATTACTAAAATAGACTGTCTACTTCTTTCCTCCTCTTCTCCTTTAAATCAAAATAAAAAAACACCCAAGTTTATTCTTCCCCCGGTATATCCCATTCATGCTGTTGGTTAGGCCAGAAATCCTGGAGAAATCTTTGATTTCTCTTTTTTCACATTTTACATCCATTCCAACGACAAGGTCTTTACCTTTAAAGGTATGACAGGTTCTTACCATTATACATCTACTTTATTCCATTTTTCTCTGTTAAACTATTTCATAGCCTCCTCAAGTTTCCACTATTTATTTTCTGCAATGGTGTTTCCACCTAGGAGTGAGAGTGACCTTTCTTTGAAAAAGTGCATACACTTGATTGTGTTGCTCACCTGCTCACAGCCATCTTGTGGTTTTCCAGAATAAGACGCCTATTTGCTATATTGAGCGTATATGATCTTGCTTCTGCCTATGGCTGTGACCTTATCTTTTACCAAACTTCTTTTGTCCATAGCTGACTAGTCTCATTAGTCTTTTAGCTGTTCTAACCTCAGAGCCTTTGTACTTGCTCTTCCTCTGTCTTGAATTCTGATTTTCTGTGCTGTCACATGGCGTACTTCCCCATTCAGATCTGTGTCACCTCTTCTTCCATCAGATGAGACTTCTCTGACTGCTGTATTGGCAAGGTCAAATAACATTACTCCTTTACACCTTCCTGTTTTATGTAGTATCATCTTGATATATTGGTTTAATTTAATCAAATCCTTTTTTTGACCTGAAATTATATATTTTTTCACTTATATATTATGTGCTGCTTCCACCAAAGAGTAAACCCCAAGTGGGCAGAAACTCGTCTGTCTTATTTATTGTTAAATACACAGCATTTAGAACAGTGTGTGGGACATAGTAGCTGCAGTGCAGTGAATTACTTGGTGTGGCTTGTCTAGCCATAAACTTTGTAACTCCCACTGGATTACTGGGTGGGACCATGCAAATAAAGTGTGTAGAACTCTGATGTTAGAATTGGCTAGTTTTGTCACTCTGGCAGGGTTAAAATGAGCCTTCCTAGAGGGAGAGAGGGAACTCTGGTAGCATAATGGCTAAAGCACTTGACTGCTAACCAGAAGGCTGGTGGTTCAAACCCACCAGCCACTCCTCGGAAGGAAGGTTGGGCAATCCTACTTCCGTAGTGATACTGCCTCGGAAACCCTCCGGAAACCCAAGGAGGGGTTGCTATGAGTCGGGGCCGACTCAACGGCACATAACAACAACAACAACAACAACAGAGGGAGAGAGGGATCTCACTGCCATCAAGAGAGAAGAGCTGGAGGTGAAGTAGAGTAGTGCTTCAATGAATAAATGAATGATTATTAATTTGCTGTCTTACAGAATATAAATAAGTTGATATAGTAGAATAGTTTGGTCTCACCTTCCCTGGGGTGTAGTTTACTGCCTTTCACTCATTAACAGCTGCCTGTTGCATATTCTCCATGGCGTTAAGCAGTAAGATTGATTTGTACAGAGAATCTTGTGCATAATGGAAAGATCATCTTCAGGATTGTTATTTTCCTGTGCTATCTTTTCAGCATTCAGCAAGCACTTACTAAGTGCTTATTCCTACAGGTATTGTGCTGGCTGCTGTATGAAATGCAAAATCTCGTATCTTCAAGATTTTCATTGTTCTGCAAGGTAGACTGATAAAGGGTTAGAACCATGAGAGGACTGAAGAGGGCCCAATTCTGCTGTGAAGAAGGGTGGAAATGGGGTGTATATGGAAAGGCTTTTCCTTTGAATCAAATTAAATTTACTTTTTGGAGCAGTGTTTCCTCAACTTTTTAAATTATGAGAATCATGTGGTGTACTTATTGAAAATACATATTTTTGCTTCAGAAGGTCTAATATAGGATTCTCTTAATGTGTATCTCAGGTGAGCCTGTTAGGTAGGAGTATGTTAAAGCATATGGATTTTCATTTCAGAATACAAAAAAAGAATTATCCTTTATTCATTTCAAATAAATTTAGTCATCAGGCTTTAAGGAACCTTGTTAGTGCTGTGGTTAAGTACTTAGCTGCTTACTGAAAGGTTGGCAGTTTGAACTTATCAGCTGGTTCATGGGAGAACAATGTGGCAGTCTGCCTTTGTAAAGATTACAGCTTTGGAAGCCCTTTGGGGACAGTTCTACTCTGTCCTTTAGGGTCATTATGAGTTGGAATTGACTTGAAGGCATTGGGTTTGATTTGGGGTTTTGGATATTGTTTTGCAAATATTTAATTGCTGATGTAATGGTTTAACAAAACATTTGAGCAAATATTAAGACCATGTTCTTAGAAAGACATACTGGCTTAAAGATGTCACTTTTTAATATAATCCATATATTTAATATGATAAAAATCCCTACTATGTTTTTCAGGGAGGGGTGATTCTAAACGTTATTTAGTAAAAGAAACAGTATCATAAAAACTTAGGGAAGAGCAATGAGAAAAGACTAGCCATTCTAGAGGTTAGAACTTAAAGCCTTAACAACTTAGAAAGTATGAAAATAGATAAACCAATAGAACAGCTTTCTTTTCTTTTAGGTTAGAAATATATATGTGAATTTAACATGACTGAAGTTACATGCTAAATCAGTAGGGGGAAAGATGGCCTTATTCAGTTAATATGTTTTTGAAAATAAGATTTGCAATGTACAAAGACATAAGAAATTGAGGAAAAGATAGTTAAAACTCATGTTATGGAAAAAGGGCCAATCTCACTAATATGAAATTCTGGAAATATATATAAAAGACCAGTAGCCCAATGGATTATGGTCATATAATTCACACAAAAAAATGGTAAGATTGTATGAAAAATGCACAATTTAATTGATAATAGAATTACAAACATAAACAATGCAGAGATAACATATTTTACCCAATAGGCAAAAATCCAGAAATTTAATAACACACCCACTTTTCACTTGTCAACACGGATAGGTTCCAAAGACCAGATCGTTAAGCAAAAATCAGTATTACGCGAAAATGGAAGATGACCACATCAGATCACAAAATGAAGGATGACTGCATCATTATATAACTGCCAAATTACATCAGTAGTAACTACCAAATTACATCATTACATAATTGCCAAACCACTGAGAATCATGGTCCTGCCAAGTTGACACATAACTGTAACCATGACAGCCATCATTACTCTTGCCTTGCACCTTGATGTCTGTTGCTGTCAGACATACGTCATTCATATGTAAAAAAGATAATAGATATTTTACTATTGTAAATATGAAATGTCTGATAACAAATAGGTGATATGTGAGGAGTAAGTGTATACTCTGGTAAGGCTGTAAGGAAAATAGGTATTTTAATACATTGTTGTTTATAGTGTCAGTTGATACAACTCATTGAAGTAATTTGGCAACAGTAATTACACATTTTATGTAGAAATCCTACTTGTGACTTTTTGTATAGATGAATTTGGAAATACGTGAGATGACATATACAAAATTATTAATTATGGCATAATTTGTAATGACAAAGACTTAGAATTGAAGTAGCCATCAATAGGGAACTAGTAAATTATAGTTAATTCATATAACAGAATCCTTTGTAAGTGTGAAAAAGAGCTAAGAAAATGCTTTACGTATTGTACATACTGAAAATGGAGGGATGTTGGTGATACATTGTTATGTTAATAATAAAACACAAAAAACAAAAAAAACAAGGTACCATAATGGTGTTGATAGTATGCTACCTTTTGTGTAAACAGGGAATATGAGTATAATGTATATTCTCATAACTATAGAAAGAAACTCTAGAAGGGTATATAGGAGACTAACAGTGGTTATGAAGGGTGGTAGGAAGTAGAAGGGTGGATGGGGACAGGTGTATCCCTTTTTTACAGTTTTTTTTTTTTGAGCCATTCAAAAGTTAAATGATTTAATTAAAAACATTTTCTTACCAAGTATGAGTAACTCAAAATTTTATCTTTAAAGTGAATGCTAACTTAAAAACTTTTCCTCATATTTGTATATATTAGTGTATTTATGTTTAGATATATCTTATGCATGTGCTTTCTTATACTGGAGTGTTTGAAGTGATAATTGCAATCAGATCATCTTAACTGTAAGCTAAATTGTTAAAAATAGTTTATCTTTTTATATGCTTTCTAACAGATTAATATTCTACAAAAAAATCAGTTATAAAATTGCTTTAAAGCTTATTTTTTACTCGGGGAAATCATCATATGGAAATTTAGAAATATACAGCATACCTTGAACATTTCACTCAATAATATCTAATGTTTGTGTTTAAATATTGATCTCTCACATGAATCTTTTTCAATCTTCAGCAACATCGGCAAGTATTGACAGAAGTGCCCCCTTAGAAATAGGTCTACAGCGATCTACTCAAGGTATGTCTCATCAGATTTTTATAAAAAATTTTCAATAACCCATGCCAAAGATACATATTATTTATTTATTTTCCCCTTATAGTTAAACGAGCTGCAGATGAAGTTTTAGCAGAGGCAAAGAAACCACGAATTGAGGTAATGGAATTTTATTTTAAAGGTGATTTATATTGTTTCTGAAATTGGGTTTGTGTAGTAACAAGAGTTCTGTGCTCATATTGGTTTTTTCTTTTTTGATAAATTGTTGTACTAGGTCAGGGTTGGAGGACTTTTCTAGAAAAGCCCAGAGAGTATATACTTTGTTACAATTACTCCTTACTATTATAGCCCAAAGGCAGTCATACTGTTGTTGTTGTGTGCCCTCAAGTCGGACCCAACTCACAGCGACCCCTCCTTGGGTTTCCGAGGCAGTATCACTACAAAAGTAGATTGCCCAACCTTCTTTCCGAGGAGTGGCTGGTGGATTTGAACCACCAGCCTTCTGGTTAGCAGTCAAGTCCCTTAGGCACTACGCTACCAGAGCTCCTAAGGCAGTCACAGGGATTACATAAATGACTAGGTGTGGCTATATTCCAATAAATCTTCACACATACAGGCAGTAGGCCAGATTTGGCCTTATGCTTTAGTTTGTCTACCCCTGGAACAGGGTGGTATGGGAATTTGCCTCACTCTTAAGAGTTGTAAGCACCAGGTACTAATCATAGTTATGTCATTAAAATATTGACATTTCAGGTCACAGATTTTTTGTAGAATTTTATAACACAGAATATTTAATAATAGTTCATGTGAAATAGAAGCCACCTATAAAAACTTCCTTTGTGTAATGAAGTTTGTTGGTTAGTTAATATACTTCATAAAGTAATTGAACCTTAAGAATTTTAATTATATGATTTTGACATTATATGTGTAAATTTGTTGTAAGCCCTCAGATCAGTTATATGTAAAACCCTTGAAGATGGAGAATAACACACTAAAGGCACAGTTAAAATCTGAGAAATGATTTAACTGGTCACACATCAATTGAAATAACAGTATTGGACGAGTATTTATCACTAATGTTAGCATTTCTGAAAACCATAAATTATTTTAGATATGTGTAAAAATCAAATTATCACATGTGTATACTGTTTGCCTGCTATATAAATAGTAAAGCATCCATAATTGAGGATAAAACTTATAGTTGAAGGGACATCATTGGTTGGTAAGGACATACAGTAAAATGAGTGACAAATTTTAATTTAAAATAATTTGGGCATACTCAGAGACATGGACATGATAGTTTTTGGGTAATGGTAACAAACTCAATGTTAATACTCTGCTAGGTAATACTCTTAAGTATTTTATGTATACTGACATACTTAGTCCTTACCACAGTCTCTTGAAATTGGTAGTAGCATGCATTTCATCTGTGAGCACACAGGCACAGAGACCAATAAGTGTGTTGTTGAGATTCATAACAGCTACTGAGTTGTAGAGCTAGGATTAGAACTCAGACTTCCTGACCTCTAGCCATTCCGTTTCACTGGGTACAAATTTTGTAGCAGTAAAACTGATGTTTTCCTCAACTCTGCTTGCATGAAAAGGAATTTGTGACCCACTGTGAACAAACTGAATGAATTTGGGGATACTATTTATTTGGAGAGAGCTCTAGTGGTGTAGTGCTTAAGGCATTTGACTGCTAACCAGAAGGCTGGCGGTTCAAACCCAACAGCTACTACTTGGAAGGAAGATTGGGCAATCTACTTCCATAGTGATACTGCCTCAGTTGCATCTGACTTGATGGCACTGTGTTTTTTTTTTTTTTTTTTTTAATTTGGAATCTGAATAGTAATTATTTGGAAATTTCAAATACCAGCAATATTAATTTGCTAAGATTCCAGTAACTTAAAAAATCATATAATTATTTCCAGAGCATGTGTAACATTAAATTGTGTTTCGTAGACAGTTGCATTACATAAATAGTTTTCATTTCAGCAAATATATATTGATGACCTGCAAGGCACTATGCTAGGAGAGAGAAAACCTAAGGGCAGGAATTCTGAGTTGATTAAAATCTATATTGTATTTATCTGTAAAATTAGTGGTCTCCTAAGGCACTTGGGGGGAGCTCTGGTAGCATAGTGCCTAAGGCACTTGACTGCTCACCAGAAGGCTGGCGGTTCAAACCCACCAGCCACTCCTCGGAAGGAAGGTTGGGCAATCCTACTTCCGTAGTGATACTGCCTCGGAAACCCAAGGAGGGGTCGCTATGAGTCGCTCGCTCGAAGGCAAACAACAACAACAACAACAAGGCACTTGGGCAATCTGTGTTAATGCCTTTATTACAAGTGGGAAAAGTTTAATGATCTGCTGAACTACCACCATTGCATTCATTTCAGCTGATAGGTCCATTTTAACTTTTTTTTTTTTTTTTAAATGGTGGATTAATATGAGGGCATAATTTAGAGTCCAGCATTATTTTGGACCTCTTGAATATACTGATGCTTTTTATACAATTTCATATTTCATTAGATTCTGATCCTCCATTTTCTTATTTGTAGGATAGACATTGAGCAAGATAAGTTAAATTTTGTTTTGTTTTTAAGCAGGCAAACACTTTTTAGACAAAATCTTACCTGAAATCCTAATATGTGTTTGAGCTAAAAGCTTAGCTACCAAAGTTGAATTTATAGAAGATCTTGCAGTGGCCGGTGAGATAATTTGCAGTAAATCCTTAATACTGTGAGAAACATGTTCTGAAAACCACTGAAGTTTAACTTTTAGTGTTTTGATCTTTGCTAAAGGAATTAAGACTTACAGCAACAGATGAAGAAAACTATAGATTCCAAAGGAAATTTTGACCGTGGTGAAGGATTTTTATATGTAATTATACTTTTGGGTAGCAGGTGCCATATTTTATGCCATGCATTTATTAGGTCCTAATAAGCAATAAATGTTCATGGATAACAACAACAACAAAAAAGTAATTTTAAACATTCTCAAAGAGAAGGAATTTATTGTATGTATTTCTGAATAAAGATAGATATTTTATGAGAAGAACACTTAATCATTGGGAAAAGTGATTAAAGAAATTACTTTCTAAACTTTTAGGCAAGTCTAATCTTATATAAGTCAACATTGTTTATTATTGTCATATTGTGTAGCTAATAGGTAACTAAAAGTAATTTAAAGTTGATTTAAGGCCAGTTATGCCTAGAACTTTATAGGTTGGAACTTTGTTAAGAAAATCTTTTGTAAGGTATTTTTTTCTCTACTAGAAGTTAAATAAAAATTTAAAACATTCATTAATCAGTGATTATTTCCAGGATGAAGAATGTGTGCGTCTTGATAAAGAGAGATTGGCTGCTCGTTTGGAGGGTCACAAAGAAGGAATTGTACAAACAGAACAGATTAGGTAAGAATTTATTTAGTGGAAAGTAGGCAGTTTAGACATGCGTAAGAATGCATGGAGAAGAAATCCTAATAGCTATTCATGTTTACAAGGAGCTTTGGTGGCGCAGGGGTTAAGTGCTTGGCTGCTAAGTAAAAGGTCAGTAGTGTGAACCCACCAGCCACTCCATGGGAGAAAGATGTGGCAGTCTTTCCTTGGAAACTATGGGACAGTTCTACTCTGTTCTATAGGGTCCTTATGAGTTGGAATCAACTCAATACAGGCCAACAAGTTTTTTAATCCATGTTTGTATTTACCTCTTCCATTCATTCCTCTGTGGCCTAAATTCAAAAGATGATGATGATACATGAGCATGTTTTATGGTAGTGGAGATTGGAAACCGTTGTGCTAATTATGCTTTCTTGAAAGCCTTCCTGATTCTATTACCACATTGGTCTTTCCTTTTTAAGATTGTTTCATAATCCAAACCACTCATTTTATCATGTAATCTCTTGTTGATTTTTGCAGAGGTCAGCAAACATTTTTTTTTGTATGATGTATTAAGTATTTTTAGCTTTGGAAGTCTATTGCAATTACTCAACTCTGCAGTAGTTAGAGAGAAAGGAACCATAGACAATATATAAATAAATGAGCATGGCTATATTTAGCCTGTAACCTTAGTTTTCTGACTCCTGATTTTTAGTATAATTAGAATCTTTTCTTATTATTTCTTTGCCACAGTCTTCTGTTTATGGAAGTTTTATCCAAAGTTCAAAAGTCAGTGTAGATTTTTAAAAATAGCTTTGAGGTACAATTGACATGCAGTAAACCACACATATTTAAAGTACTCTGGCTGTGAAACCATCGTTATAGTCAAGATAATGAACATAGTGTCACTCCATCAGTTTTCACAGTGCTTGTTATTAATGCGCTGCTTCCACCTATCCAACATCATCTCCTCCCGAGGCAACCAATAATCTGTTACTGTAGATTAATTTACTTTTTTTTAAAGTACTATGTAAATGGAATTATGCACTATAGGTTTTATTTCCCTCTGTTTTCTTTTACATAGCATAAATGTTTTGAGGGTCATTATTTTATTCCTTCTTCATACTCTGAGTGTACCATAGTTTGTTTACCCAGTCACTTGTTGAGAGACATTTTGGTTATAGCCATTTTTTTGGCTATTACAACTAAAACTGCTATGAACATTTATGTACAAGTTTTTATCTTAGCACTTTGTGGAAAACCAGTTGTTCTTATTGATGTAGGTCTATTTCTGGAACCTTTATCTTCTGTTGATCTATGTCTTTATGTTAATGGCATACTGTTAAGATTACTGTATCTTTAATAAGTATTGAAATCAGGTAGTGTTAGCTCTCCAACTTTATTCTTCTGTTTCAAGGCTGTTTTCATTATCCCAGAGCCTTTGTATTTCCATGTGAGTGTTGAAATTAGCAGGTTGTTAATTTCCACAGTAGTTCCTGCTGGAATTTTGATTGAGATTGCATTGAATTCATAGAATAATATGGAGAGAAATTAGCATTTTAAGAATATTGAATATTCTGATGTTTCTCCAAGGTCTACTTTGCCATTTATGGAGAGATGTTAACAAAATGAAACAAACTTGTTGCCATCAAGTCAATTCTGAGTTGTGACCCCATGTGTTACAGAGTAGAACTGCTCCAAAGAGTCTTTTTGTCTGTAATCTTTACAGACATCAATTGCCAGGCCTTTCTATTCTAGCAACACTGGGTGATTTTGAACTCTCAGCCTTTATGTTAGCAGCCGATTGCCAACCCCTGTGCCCACAGGAATCTATGGAGAGATTTAGGTCTTCTTTAATTTCTCTCAGCAGTGTTTCATAATTATAAGTATTATGCATCTCTTGTAATATTTGTAAGTATTTCATGTTTTTTGATGCTGGTTTAAAGGGTATATTATAAAATTTAAATCGCTGATTATTCATTGCTAGTATAAAAATGAGCCCTGTTGGCACAGTAATTAAAACACCTGGCTGCTAACTGAAAGGTCAGCAGTTCAAACCCATTAGCCTCTTCACGGGAAAAAGATATATGTGGCAGTCTGCTTGTGTAAAGATTACAGCCTTGGAAACCCTATGGGGCAGTTCTGCTCTATCCTGTGGGGTTACTCTGAGACAGAATCGACTTCATTGCAATGGATTTGGTTTTTGGTTTAGTGTAGAAATAAAATTAATTTTTTGTGTTGATCTTATATCCTATAATCTTGCATGTTTATATTTACCTTACATTTAACTCTTTTATTCTAGTATTCCACTGGATTTTCTATATAGACAGTTATATTGTATACAGAGAAAGATGTCTTCACTTCTTCCTTTTCAAACTCCATGCTTTTTATTTCCTTTTCTTGCCTTATTACTTGGCTAGCCTTTCTAGTCTAATGTTGAATAGGCATTCCTGTCTTGTTTCTTGTTCCTGAAAACACTTAAGTCTTATACTGACTTCCTAGCATACTACTTACTACCTTGGGTAATAGAAACTTTTTATGAGGTTAAGGAAATTCTCTTCTGTTTCCAGTTTACTGAGAGTTTTTTTTTTATCAGAAATGTTGGATATTGTCTCGTGCTTTTTCTGATTCTATTGAAATGATCATATTGTTTATCTTTTGTTAAAATACAGAATTAAGTGAATCTTTTCAATGTTTGCATTCCTTAGATATAACTCTTTATTACTATTTTAAAAATAGGTAAGATTGTTCTTTTTCTTTTTTTTGTTTTATATGGTACTCTTTAGTTACCTTGTTAATATCTGTAGAATTTGAAGTTATGGCCCCACTGTTATTCCTGATATTAGTAACTTGTGTCTTCCAGTTTCCTTATCACCCTGGCTAAATGGATATATTTTATTGATCTCAAAGAAGTAGATTGAGGTTTTTCTCTATTTTTTTACTCCTCCTCATTTAACTGTGTTGAAAGCATACACACCAGAACATCTGCCAAAAACAACTTCCACATTTACAACTCAATGACATTGATTACATTTTTCATGTTGTGCCACCATTATCACTTTCCTCATCCAAAATATTATATCATCATTAACATAAACTTAATGCTTCTTTCCCCAATCCTCCCCACCCCCCCCCCACAAAAAGCCTTTTTCTGGTTACCATTGGTAATCTTTAGTTTCTGTATGTTTTCTTATTTCATGTAAGTGAGATCATACAGTATTTGTCTTTTTGCAGCTGACTCATTTTGCTTAGCATGTTTTCAAGATTTGTCCATGTTGGGCATACATTAGGACTTCATGTCTCTCTTTTTTGTAAACTTTTTATTGTGATTTGGGTGAAATTTGACAGAGCGGATTTGTTTCACATTCAACAGTTCATACATGTTTTGTGATACTGGTTTTATCCCCTGCAGTGTAACGATTCTCCAGCTTCTTCCCTATGGTTACCCTTTCTTTGTGTCCTTGCCTGTGCATTCCTGCCTCCCTGCCTTTCTCCTTAATGCAAATGCTGTTCTTCTGATCTTCCATGGTTGCTGTTCTAAGGAGTGCATCTCCCTGATGTAAGTGTATAGCTCATAGGCTTATCTGTGGTTTGGCTGAGAGTTGAGCCACAGGAGTGAGTTCAGTTCCAGGACTGAAGGGTGACTCAGGGCCACTGTCTTGGGGGTTTCACCAGTCTCTTTGAGCCCAGTAAGGCTGGTCTTCTTTATGATTTTGAGTTATTTTCCCATAGTTTTCTCCCACTCTATCTAGGATCTCCCTTTCTGAGTAGTTGGGCACCATCTAGTCTTCTGATCTCAGGGTCATATAGGCTGAGGTTCTCATGGTCCATAAGTCCTTTGGACTGTTTCCATGTGTCTTAGATTTTCTTCATACTTCTTTGCTCTGGACTAGGAGAGACCATAGTTAACCTCTGAGATGGCTGCTTACAGGCTTTTAAGACTGTAGTGACTACTCACCAAAGTAAGATGTAGAACAGTATTCTTGTGTAGGATATTGTGCCAGTTGAGCTTGATGTCCTCCATAACCATGGTCCCAGCTCATAGGTCCAGTGACTTGCTCCTTTAAGGTGCTTATTTGTGGCTAAGAAGTTATCTTAACTGTGTCTTCTGTTATGTTTAAACTGCATATGGATATTTTTATAGCACATACAACTACATATGAAGGAGTATTATCTGCCAAACCTGTGTGTGGTCATGGGTATATTCTCATTTGTGTATCCATACCCGATCTTCTTGCCTGTCTTCCTCTGTGTCTTTTTGTAGATTTGTGTTTGCTGTTACTGATTATGCAGTATTGTGTATGTGATAGTATTTGCTTTTATTGTCTGTACCTCACATCTTTTGTTACATTGCTTTTCACTTCACCCACATCAGACTTCATTATCCATCTGTTTTCCCACCCTCCTTCTCCCCTGCCATCCCTGGTAATCAACAAAGAAAATGTCCTTCCCTGTGTAAACCTTTCCTGGACATTTTACAATAATAGACTCATATAATATTTGTCCTTCTGTGCTTAACTTATTTCCCTTAGTACAATGTCCTCCAAGTTCATCCATGTTATGAGGTGATTTGCTAATTCTTCATTATTTTTTAATGTTACATAGTTTTTCCATTGTGTGTTTGTGCCCTAGTTTGGTTATCTATTCATCTGTTGAAGGGCACTTTGATTGTGTCCATCTCTCTGCTCTTATAAATACTGCTCTGATGAAATGGGTGTGCATATTCGTGTCCTGCATCTAACCTCTTTACGATATATTCCTAATAATGAGATTGCTGGATCAAATAGTATTTCTGTTTCCAACTCTTAAAGGAAGCACCATACTGTTTCCACAGTAGCTGTACTATTTTACAGTCCTACCAGCAGTGTATGAGAGTTCTCATCTCCATACTCTTGGCAGCATTTGTTGTTTTCTGTCTTATTGAATTTTGGTATTATTGCTGGGGTGAGATGATATATCATTGTTCTTTTGATTGGTATATCTCTAATGGCTAATGGTGGTGCAGTGCCCATGGCTTTTATCAGAAGGTTGGTGGT